CTTCTTAACACTTGAATACTGTGTAATATATTTGAACATATATATTTAAGAAGTTTTATTTGTGGCCGTATTTCATTTTACTTTTTTAATTTGCTGAGGGCCGATTCAAAATGGTCCGCGGGCCGCATTTGGCCCCCGTGCCGTAGTTTGGACACCCCTGCTCTACATGTATGTCTGCTGGATGGAGCAGCTTCTGGAAATATCTTGATGTTTTTTTGGCTTCCTATCAAATACACAGCTGAATAATAAAGAGTCATCACAACAGTGTGAATCATATTGCAATTGCAGTTTCAGTTCAAATAATTTAAATTTAAATTTCAATTCATGCAGCCCTATATGTAACCCTGCCTGGACATCACAAACAAAGTAAATCAGGTTTGGTGCAGCAGGTTTTCAGGAGGCTTTCTGACCTCAAAGTCCTGGTCCGAGAGGTATATCTCCAGCCGGAGGGGGTCCACTCCTTCAGGGAGGGGCCGGGCCTGCAGCTGGGCGAGGGGGAAGGTGTTCTGACAGAGCCGCGCCAACACGTCCTCCACCAGGATGATCTGGTGACACACCTCCGCCTCCTGCAGGCACAAATCACTGCATCAAGTCCTTTCAAAGTCAAAGTCAACTTCATTGTCAATCTTTCAGTTTGTGTTGGACAGACAGAGAGATCCAAATACCGCTTCCCACGAATACAAAAATATATAAAGATATGTATGCAAATATGTATATGCCTATATATACACAATCAAAGACACATTTATACATATGCACACATTGAGATAAAAGCACAACAATCAATATATACAAAATAACAGTCACTTATTTTACATTTACTTACATTAGTGCAAGATTGTCCATTGAAGCGTAAAAAGTGTCTGGTGTTGGATTTGATTTGAATGCATTATGTTATATTCAGAGGTGGAGGAAGTACTCAGATCTTTAATTTAAGTAAATATATTTATAGCACAGTTTAGAAAAATCCCTGCTTTCATTATTTTAATTAAAGAGGAAATATTGTTCAGGTTCATATTAGTATTTTGTGCCTCTACTGTCTCCATGCTTTAATGTTCAAAAAGCTCTTTATTTGTCTCATACTGCCTGTGCTGCAGCACCTCTTTTCACCCTCTGTCTGAAACCAGAGCCAGAGAGAGTGTGTGGGAGAGAAACTCCCTTTGGAGGGAAATTTGGGATCTTAGCCTTTGGAGAGCTTTTCCATGCACACAAACCTATAACACACTACAGGAAAGGGAAAATATACAATAATAGGGCCTCTTTAAATACAGTTGCAAATACAATTGCTTCAAAAGATACCTTAAATACCAACAAAAAACACAACGTATTGTGCAGAATGGGCACTGCCGCAGGAAGTCTCCCTCACTTGTTTTTGTAGACACACACTTGTACGTGTGTGTGTGTGTGTGTGTGTGTGTGTGTGTGTGTGTGTGTGTGTGTGTGTGTGTGTGTGTGTGTGTGTGTGTGTGTGTGTACCCTCTCTGTGATCTCGGCCACATCCTCTCGGTGCTCCCAGCTGGGGAACATGTTGGTGAAGGTGAGTGGCTCCAGTCCGGCGTGGATCAGATACGACTTCTGAGGCTTCTTCTCGTTCTTCTCTGCAGGAAGGGAAAACACTTCAGTACAAACCATGAACGAATGCTTGACAGAGGATTAACAAACAATCAAAAAACAACACAAACACGCACATCCAAAAGTAATGAGAGTGACTGTAGCCCTGCACATTTCATATGAGGGATTTGAAGTATAGAAACTCAATATCATAATCTATGATATCTCGTTCACACAGCATTTATTTCATTGACTTTCTTACCTTTGCAGTACTGCAGCACCGTCTCCATGGCGCACTTTCTGTCGGCATCCCAGCGGAAACGAGCCGAGCCGGTGCTCTCGCTGTCCTGCGGCCACCAGCCCTGCCACAGGTACACCTCGTGGAGGTTATCCACCAGGAACAGCGCTGTCAGGGAGAGGAACGGGTTTATTCCTGCATGATATCTGTCAGCACAAGACATGGTCACACCACACAAAAATCACGTCTCCACCGCTAAGCTAAAGACGGCTAATTATCGGCGGGATGACGTTTAGCAGGCTCATCTAGTCACTTGTTGGCAAATGCCATCTTTAGATTATTCACTGTCACAAATCTTAACTTTGAAGCTCGTTCACTTTATTTAAACTTCCTCTCGAGGGGATCTACTGTAGATGTTCTAAGTCTTATTTGCTGTTGATATATGTCTGCCAAAATTGGTCCTCAATCAATTATTTCTACATTGTATGTATGTTTTTTTAATTTGCAATACGCCCAAAAGGAGAACTTAGTTCATGAGAACTTTCCCCCCCTTTTCAGTCCCTGCTAGAGAGGTGGTACTTTCCTGGGGAGAAAAACATTTCCAAATTCTGATTGGCTGGGCGAATTGCAAACCATGCCCCGTAAAACTCTGAAAAGTTTTGTGAAGCCGCCATCGTATTTGCTGGCATTAGCATCATTAGCATTAGCCCCGCGCACCAACAGAGAGAGAATAACTTATGGCAACACAACAAAAAACATGGGAGCGGTGGAGATGAGGAGGTGTCGGCGTTCTGGAAATTTACTCGGAAGGCTTCAGTAGAAGCTGCTGGGAGTCCCAGCAGCTTCTACTGAAGCCAGTCCCCAACTCCGGGGACTTCCGGCCGCGGACTTCGGGTGGCAGTATATGCCGTGAAGTTGTTTGTGGCCTGCCAGTAAACCCAAAGCAGAAGAAGAAGAAGTGATGTCAGCGGCTTCATTTGGGTAATCGTCCCTCAGGGAACTTATTCCGGTGTGAATGCGATCTGCTCTTAAGTTCCATGGGGGTACTAAGTGCTGGGAACTAAGTACGGCAAAGTACTTACGGTGTGAAAGCGGCTAATGAATATCAAAAAATAAATGTAAGACTTTTTAAGGATCCGCAGGGACCCTCTCTTATCTTCTTATCTTAACTCCATCCCTGTTTTCAAGTTGGTTTGTGTGCAGGCTCACCAGGTTGCTGTGGAGCGTTGTACAGGTCTTCCTGCAGGAAGGGCAGCGAGCTGACCAGCTGTGGAGCTCTGGACAGGTGGAAGAACTCATTCGCCACAAACTCTCCAGATGTGCTGCTCAGCTGGAAAAGCCTCGGGGTGAAGTTGAATTTACCCGGGTCTGAAAAGGGAAATCAAAAAACCAACATCAAGATAAATCTTTTTAAGTTATCCATTCCCCTGTTGTTTAATGTTGCCCTAAAAAAAGTGTTTTTAGGGTAGGCGATTTGAGACTTTTGGCTTTTATTGTAAAAAAAATGTATAAATAAAAGCCGTTAATCTCAGAAAAGGAAATTAAAACAACAACTATTTTTTCCATAATGATACAATATGTTAAGTGCACTATTTTAAATAGCATCCAGCCAGATTGGAGGCCTTTTAAATTGTTTAATTTCAACCTCCATAACTTGAATTGGCCAAATGTAAGTTTCAAAATGTATGATCAATTCAATTTATGTCAAAATAGAACTGTTCTAGCTGTGTTTGAGCTGAGAGTGAATCTACAAGTGTATATTATTAAGTAATCAGAGTATGCAGGCACCTTGTAGCATGCAGTCGTAGGCCTTCCTGTCTTTTCTCCCCAGAGCCTCCCAGAAGCCCTGAGGCTCCGCCCCCTCGTCACACTCATGGATCGTCACCTTGCTGCTGCTGTGAAGCCCCGCCTCCAGAGGACACCTGAGGAATGAGAAACACAATATAATCTATGCACAAGAAAATGTAATGATGTTTGAACTAAAAACATCCACCGACCAGTTGTGATAATTATAACCCTCTAAGCCTACAAAGACAGAGGAGCACATGGACATCGTTTCATATTTTTGCCAAATGCCTTCAGACAGTATCAAGTGTTATACATTATATGATTCTGGAAAACCTCCTCCTTCTCTCTAGTGCAGTGTAAAGTCACCATCTCTCCTTAGTGTTAGTAAAACATATTTCACATACGATATGATTTACGATATTGGAAGGATTGATAATTTTTGCATTATTATTCTCATTATCATTGAATGATATGTTTAAAGTGATCATAGTGGGATTTTAAAGAGGACCTGTACAAAACAAAGATATTTTATTAAGTGCGTAGGGTACATTGTGAAGGCTGGGACATCTATGCAGTTCATTCAGAATAATATTTACAAATATTGTAGCTCATAGTAGCCCATTACATTGCGATTAATTGGTCATCCCAACAGGCGATTGGATATTGTTCTGAGCGACCTTGAAGCCGTTGTGGCTGTAAATGCTTTGGCTAACTGTTGAATGACTGTGTTGTGATTGTGTGTTTTAAAATGGTCTGTAACTGTGCTGTTACCATTCTTGGGCCAGGACTCGCTTGATTTTTTTATCTCAATGAGACCTATCCTGGTTAAATAAATGTACAATTAAATACAAATAAATAAACTGAACAACTCACTGTTCTTTGATCTTGTGA